AAATATTATTAGTGTATTATATGTGTAAATAAGTTATTTGTAAAAAAAAATTTTTCAGCAAAAATATTTTTGCAAAACATTTGTGTTATTATCATATATATATATATATTATAATAGATATTATAGCAAGAGTTAGCACACATTCATACATACATACAGGGATTGTCTGATGATAAGTCACTAATGGCTTAGAAAGAGAGAGAGAGAGAGAGAGAGAGAGAGAGAGAGAGAGAGATTGTATGCCATCACTAGCACTGGTAGTCACACTTCTCTCTCTCTCTCTCTTTTCATCTCTCATTTAAATTGAGCTCTCATTCAATGTAAATAACGCGTGAACTCTTGGAAAACGCGTGTATAATATACTGTATATATATATTTATCGTATGTATCATACAAAAGATGGTATGTCTATGGTAGGGAATGGGATGTCTCTAATGTGTTGTATGGGCCCTAAAAATATGTGTGAGTGTGTGTGTGTGTGTGCGGCACCAGAAAAATAGTTGAGTGTAATAATGATTTTGTTTAGTTGTGTTGTTATACACACACACAAAAAGGGATAGATTTTTTGGATGATATGTGTTTTTGGTTGAAAAATATTCAGTAAACTTAGTATTAGTGAAAGTTTTTTCCTATCGGGCGCCCTATGCTCTGTATATACCAGGCATACCAGGAAACCAATGTGCCATTAAGTGTTGCTCAATCACCAAACATTAACACAACTAACAACTAACATAACAACAATATCCATGAGCTGCTGCAGCTACTAGTGCTTGCTTGAGCTGCTATAATACCCATATACCAGAAGTCTAATAACATTTACAAATATGTATTATCCAGAAAAATATTAGACACACACACATTAGGATTGAGAGGAAAGGCCTACATATATATATATATACCGTATATTCAACATAATATAACAAGAAAAGAGAGAGAGAGAATTGAATGAGTGATAGGAATGCCTCTCTCTTTGGAAAAAAAAGTTTTCATAAAATTTCACTGTATTTTCACTGTTGTATTGTCTCATCTCATCTCTTATACAGTCAATACTGTATATATATATATATATATATATATATATATATATATATTAAATATTTATACGCATATATATAAGCTATAGATTTTTAGGCTAAACATTTTACAGGCACTACCGCTATATAACACCATCAGCTCTCAGCTCAGGGATGAAAACAATGCCAACAATTTTTGCTGTTGAACTAACTCAACCAACACACACACACACACACACACACACACACACACACACACACACACACACACACACACACACACATACACACACCAGACCAGACCAGTCAGTCACGATCTCTCTCTCTCTCTCTCACTCACTCACTCACTCACTCACTCACTCTCACTCTCAGTCTCTCTCATAGTTTCATTTTGGTGTCGATATCGACTTAAAAGATTTAACTTCAAGAGAAAGAGAGAGAGAGAGAGAGAGAGAGAGAGAGAGAGAGAGAGAGAGAGATGGGCTGTGAATTTAAGCAGAATTTTTGTGTGGAAATTCTGTTTTAAGCATTCATTTATATATGAGATATATATATATACAGTATATATATGTTGGATATATGTTGGTATCTGTAGGAGCAGTCAATGAGTAATGCCTTATAGTTGCTGATAGTGTCGGTAATACCCTCTACATCAGTCAGTCACCAGGCACTGGCACTATTGAAAAAGGGGAGCTTTGAGCTGCTGATGCTATTGCTATCAGTAGTTAGCCATCAATACTATATATATATATATATATATATATATATATATATATATATGTAGAAAGTATAGACTTTTTGTACATTATATACAGATACTGTATACCAGTAAATGTATGTGTGTTTTGAATCGTACAAACAATTGGAGGGAACCCGACGTTTTTAGACATACATTTACCGCCGCCGCCGCCGCCACCACTGCCGATACTCTCTCTCTCTTTCTCTCTCTCTCTCTCTCTCTCTCTCTCTCTCTCTCTCTCTTTCTCCCACTTTAAGTCATCGTATCGTATCTCACATTTGAAACAAACAAAACACAACAAAAAAAAAAGATTTGAAATGAGAGATCCCCTACCAGTGTGTTGGTCTCACTATCTATATATACAGTGTATATATATATACTGTATATGTGTGTGGCTAATGTTGAGCACAATTACCGAAAACTGTATATTCAGTATATATATATATATATGTTTTTGATGGCCTGTCCTTTTCACAAATGGTGAATAATATATTTATTTTTTTTGTGTGATAATAGGCGAACAAATGTAATATTAACTTTAGGGTTAGTAGTAGTAGTAGTAGTAGTAGTAGTAAATGTATGCCAATAGTGTACAACAATGATATATATATATATATATGAGTCTCAAATCTTTTTATTTTTTTTTTGGCGTTTGCCTTAACTATCAATACTACTGTACATATACTCCTTAATATATCCAACTATCCTATCTGTTATTATTATTAGCCCTTTCCCTTTTTAAAAGGCTTTGCGCTCAGCTATTTTGTGCATACAATAGGAACTGTTATGTATAGTCACCGACACACACACACACACACACACATAACAATGGCAATGAACAACATAGATGACAGTCTCAATGAAATATAGCCATCGATGAGAGAGAGAGAGAGAGAGAGAGAGTAGGAGAGAGAAAAAGAGAGGTCTATAATGACAGCAATAGTTTACTGGTAACGACTATTACAATAAAGAGAGAGAGAGAGAGAGAGAGAGAGAGAGAGAAGAGAAATGAGATGAGCTTCTGGTGATAGATATCTCAAATGTTCCCCGAAGTCGATGTCAACTCTCGTTTCTTTCAATTTTTTATATATATATATAAATTTTTGGTGACTGCCTATCCATTTGAGAGTCAGTCAGTGGTGGTGGTGGTAGTGGTGGTGATGGTGTGGTAGTGCTGCTGATACTGATGCTGTCAGAGTGTGTGTATGTGTGCTACTAGTGATACAGTCAAGTGATACACGACTGGGCCCTAAAGCGACAGGCATTTACATATATATATATATAYAATACTATAGTATATACTGTATAAACGTTTTGATGAATTTAATCAGATCTCAGTTTTGTGTTCACACACACACACACACACACACACACACACACACACACACACACACACACACACACACACACACACACACACACACACACACACACACACACACACACACACACACACACACACACACACACACACACACACACACACACACACTGTATTGTATTGTATAGTATGCTATTCATACCCTATACCGATATACCGTATACTTTAGGCATCACCARCAGCAGCAGCAACAACAACATCAGCATYAGTAGTATCAATRKCATAGCACTGGTAGCTCCTGTGGCAGCTCAACAATAACACACACACACACACACACACCAACMAAAAAATATTGAGTGTTTCAAATACAAACAATATCAATAGTAAAATAATATATATATTTATATATATAATAGACGGAACTTTTACCCACAAATTTTACCCAAAAAAATAAAAATTAAAATTAAAATTATATATAAAAAAATTATTATTATTAATATTATTATTAATTTTTTTTCGGCTACTATTTTCTATCTCTAAATATATATAAAAAAAAAATGTTTTCTATATCTCAATTTTGTTTCACATCAAAAATATTTATGTATTAAAAATTACCTAATAATAATAATAATATGCAAATTTGTATTTAATGTGTATAGTTCACACACACACACACACACACACACACACACACACACACACACACACACACACACACACACATAATATTATATTATGCATCAGCATATCGTAAGCAGCACTGGTGGGTATATATATTATACATATACATACATACATATCAAGTACTGTATATTTTAGGGGTCTAWGAGAGAGAGAGGGACTGGTTTGCCCTCAAGTATTACAGTATAGTTGTGCTCAAAAAAAAAATAAAATAAAAAAATACTGTATGGTTGACATGTTGTAAAATTGGTAATAATAATAATAATAATATAATACTAATATGAGGTGCGCCTACAGATAAAAACTATACTAAAAAAAATTATATATTTTTTTTTATTTTGTTTCAACAGAGAGTTATGAACCCTTCAACTATTTTTTAGGCATCACTTTATATATACAGTATTAATATATATATTGAGAAAAAGCGCTAACATTTTTTTCAACAACAAAAAAATATATAAGAAAATAAAATATATATATAATATTTTTTTTACTTTAGTTTTTTTTTCATCATTGCCTGCTATTTGAAAGCATAATTTATGTCGATTTCTCTCTCTCTCTCTCTCTCTCTCTCTCTCTCTCTCTCTCTCTCTCTCTCTCTCTCTCTCTCTCTTTCTTATACTAAGACGACTCTCGTATATATATGACTGACTCCTCGGGCGGACTTACACACCGAGGAGTGACTTATAGCATAGGTCGGGGCTATCAATATGTATATACTGTCTCTCTCTCTCTCTCTCTAACTCCAAAAGCTAGAGAAGCTTAGACATAGACATCTATGGCAGGCCCTCTCTCTCTCTCTCTCTATATATATATATATATATATACATATAAAATATATATCATATATAAATTTAGTGTAAGAAACCAATGGATAATATGTATTAAAATAACTCTCAGCAGTAGTTTTTTTTGAACACTATTTTAATATTATATATATATATATATACTAACAACTAATACACAGTCATACATACATACACACACACACACACACACACACACACACACACACACACACACACACACACACATACCGATGATGAGCTATTAGGGTATTACCACAATAATAAAAAAAAAGGCTAAATATTATTAAGCGCGCACCGGTATGTATTAGTATACTGTATATACATACAGTATATATATGAGATAATAATTTATAAATACTGCACGTTTTTATTATGCATATATAACTAAACTATAACTATAACTAAAACAATAGCAGCAAAAAAAAAACAACACATACCTGAATGACTCGCATGTTTAGTCCAGTTTCTTGGGCCAACTGTTCCCTGATATGACGGGTCGGTTTCGGTGTGGCAGCGAATGCCGACTTCAAGGTTTCCAATTGTTTGGCTTTGATGGTCGTTCGTGGGCCGCGGCGTTTGGTACCGCCCGGTTGGTTTTCATCGTTGCCGGCACTGTTCGACGCCGACGCATGACTGGGCGATGTCGGTTCGGTACCGCCACCGTTGGTACCGTTCGGTCCCGATATACCCGAATCGGACATTGAACTCGAGGCGGATAGTGGCGATCCGGACATTACCGTTGAATGATGGCCGCCACCAACCGAACCGCTACCGTCGCGGCGACCTATGCTGCCCAGGGATGGTAGGCCGCCAAGGCCTAGCATAGTATCGTCATCGTGATCCGAGTCGGGTCCTCCGTGATGATGATGGCCGCCGCCGCCGCCAATGTCTAGTTCGGGCGGACTAACTATACTATCTTCTAAGTCGGGATCAACGGGTGACGACCCACCGGTTAGGACTGTATGGGAGGTGCGTTTGAGTATGTATTTGTGATTATTAGAAATTGAAAATATTTTAATAACTTTTTTTTAAAATAAAACAACAATTGATTCAACATATTATGGATCACTACTACAACTACTATATGGGAAATACATATTGAAATACTAGAAACAAATTGCATTWTWTATATATAAAAAACTAATTGCAAACCACAAGATATATATATATATATACAGTATATATAAGACAAACTACTTATACCTACAGTATATCTGGTATGTTATATAATAATAATAATAATAATAATAATAATAATAATAATAAAAACTATATGTCTGTCCATTATATATTGTTTTTTGTTGCTATACTATATGTTCATAAAAATTAAAAATTTTATGACTGATTGTTTCAGTTTGGTTCAGTACTTGGATGGATGGGGGGGGTTATTACTACTACTATTTTTTTTATGACAACTTTCTCTTTCAACAAAATAAAATAAAAACCTAACAGCCCTCTAAAAAAACAATGCAACATTAGCATTTTTACAATAGATATTATAAATAAATAAAATCATATATATATATATAATACATGTGTGCTATATTGTGTAGGRTTGTCTACTACTAGTAATAGTTATAAACTACARTATACCACYACTASCACTACTACCACATCAACCAACAATAATAATAYACCATATAATACATATAATACAATATACAAGGAGTACTAACCAAAAGTTTTATATATATATATCATATGTAGTGTACTTCAAGTTAAACCTCTATATACTTGTATATCTATATGTCTATGATTTTGTTATATAATGCAATATTATGTCATCTCTCTCTCAGTCTCTCTCTCTCTCTCTCTCTCTCTCTCTCTCTCTCTCTCTCTCWGAGAGAGAGAGAGAGAGAGAGAGAGAGAGAGAGAGAGAGAGAGAGATAGCAACAAAAAAACTGCTTGTTTTAAGACTATACTCTCAGTGAACAAAAGTGAAGCTCAATATATTAGTTGTGAGCTTTATATGTATATATATATAATATCTAACTTTTATATATATATATATATTTATTATACAGTATATATATACCTATATCTATAAGGTATATAYTRTATATATATATATATACTGTATGTCTATGATGTCTCTCTAAACAGTGGAAATGGTTTGGTTGGGTAAGCGTGGGAAAAATAGCCAACGGTGTGCACTTTTACTATGTAATTTGTATGTGTGTGTGTGTGTGTGTGTGTGTGTGTGTAATACTGTACAGTACACATACATAAGCTATATACAGTATATGTTATATATATGTTTTTAGATGGGGGACAGGGGGCTATATCTTATATAGACTAATTTTTTAGATATAAAACAGCAATATATATATATATATATATTGACTGGAGGGTAATACATAATATATTGGTGATGATAGTAATATTGGGTAGTAATAGTAGTAGTAGTGGTAGTAGTAGTAGTAGTAGTAGTGGTAATATTGGTGGTTGATATGTTTTTTGGCAATATTATGTTATATATATACACCGTATATATATATATATACAGTACCAAACCATATATTATATATATTATATAAGGTAGTAATTTTTTGATGTAGTATTACTACTACTACTACTAGTAGTAGTAGTTATTGTTGTTGTGGTTATTGGGGGCAAACATTTTAGTTTTTTTAAAATATATATCTATAAAAATTTATTAGTAGTAGTAGTAGTAGTAGTAGTAGTTATTGTTATAATAAATTATAACTTATAATACAAAACAACAACAACAACAACAATAACACATACAATAAAACATATGGTATATACAACTATACGGTATATATCAACTGATCCATACATACATACATATACAGTGACTATACTATCCATTCAAACATATTATATATATACATACCTTGATTATGTCTACTAGTTTTATAATCATCTTTGCAGACAAACTTATTTTCGTCCAGTATATACAGTTCCTCGCCAGTGGACAGTTGTTTACGGCATACCAAACAAGTAAAACATTTTAGATGGAAAACTTTTTGGCGGGCCCTCCTAACCAGATCGGTGGGCAGTATGCCCTGTAGACAACCCGAACATTTTGTACCAAACAATCTATTAATTTAATGAAACAAAAATAGCAAAAAAAAATCAATTATTTTATTATTTTAAATTTACATAACAATTGACTAACAATTTATGATTTTATAAAACAAAACTATAAAAAAAACAAAAGTTAAGTGACATTTATGGGGTAACAGTAGTTATATGAGTAGTAGTAGTAGTAGTAATAATAATAATAATAATACAGTAGTAGTGTTGTATTGACAGGTAATGGTGTATATTAGGTGTGTGTGTGTGTGTGTGTGTGTGTGTGTTATGAAAGATGATTTTGTTTTTGTTAAGTTTAGTTTTTTGAAAAACATTTGGGGGTTTTTTTTCCTGGTGCTAACTACTGTATAATAATAATTATTATAACAAAGCACTGGTAGTAGTAGCACCAGGCAGCAGCACAGGTAGTTTATGTCATAGGTAGTGGTGTATAGATAGAGTTTTTTTAGCCCAAAAGTTTCACGTTTGTTATTGTTATTATTATTATTATTATTATGTTGATGATAATGATGATGATGTTGATGGGAGATCAGGTCAGTGACCATTCTCTCTCTCTCTCTCTCTCTCTCTCTCTCTCTCTCTCTCTCTCTCTCTCTCTCTCTCTCTCTCTCTCTCTCTCTCTCTCTCTCTCTCTCTYTCTCTCTCTGKCCCTCACTTTAAACATATATATATATATACACCAAATGGTTGTCTCATTTGACTTATAATACACTATTACTAATACTATACTAACTCATGATTTATATATATTAATGTATAAAATATAATGTTAGCGAAAATATATTTTGAAAATTGTAAACCACTTTCTCTCTCTCTCTCTCTCTCTCTCTCTCTCTCTCTCTCTCTCTCTCTCTCTCTCTGTTGAAATATTTAACCACAAAATAAATGATAATAATTTATTTTTTTTTTCAGTAAAATAATAATAATACTATTAATAACCACCACAAATGATATGATTAAATATCTGTTTTTACAATTTATATCTATCATTATATTGTGTTATATTTTGCATATACTGTATATACAGTAGTTTTTTGTATGCATAATAATAATAATAATAAACTATATTATAGATATACAAAATTATATATGTATATTAAAAACAAACAATTGACCATCATCATCATCATCATCATAAGTTTAAGTGTATTTGAATTGATATTTTCAACTATATATTTTAAACATATATATATATAATATGATATTTATATAAATTATATACAAAAAAATAAATAAATAAATACTTGACTATTTTTTTCCAGCAATAATTGTAGTATTTTTTTAAATGATATATTAATCCTTATTGTCAAGTATTTATACATACAAATAATAATAATAATAATAATAATAATTTCATTTTCACTGGTAAACACTTAAAGTGGTTATTAAAAAGCTTAAAATATTGAATATATAGTTTTATTATACAGTAATACCTGTATATTATATATATATATATATATAATTATTATACATATATCACTGAGAGAKAGAAAAAAATTTATGTTTATCACCAAAAAAAATAAATTATTATTATCTATGAGTGAAAAAAAATCTTTACAAATAATTTATAAACTTAAATCTCAAATCCATTAGTAATACTAGTAATAATAATAATAATTTATTTTATTAATAATAAATATTATATATTTTTTCAATAAGCTTGTATATTGTGTATGTATAACCCGTTTACTAAAATAAATTACACACAAAATAAAACTATTCAACATTTAATACACGGAAAAAAATATTATATATATATATTATTTCATTCATTTTTTAAATACCATTCATTGAATTTTCTTCTCTCTCTCTCTCTCTCTCTCTCTCTCTCTCTCTCTCTCTCTCTCTCTCTCTAACAATAATTGTCAGAAAAAATACTACTATTACTACTGTATATATATATATATACTGTAATATTAAATAATAATAATAATACTAAGCGAAAATATTTGACCATAATTTAAGTCAAATGTTTCAGCTGTTTATATATATATATATATATATAAGAGAGAGAGAGAGAGAGAGAGAGAGAGAGAGAGAGAGAGAGAGAGTCGTAAATATATATATATATATAACAAAAAAATACTAAAATACTTGTATTGTAGTGATGATGAAAATGACTTAATGATAATATTAAATATATATTTAATGGTTAAACGCAATCATAATAGTCGACTGACTATATTTGAGTATATATTATATTTATATATATATATTATTTTTGAGAGTCGATAATAGGCTTTAATCGCCAATTATAACAATTGACCGTTTGATGACTTTATTTTCATTATTATTATTATTATCTTTTATTTTTATTATTATTGTATTCAATGTACTCTCACTAACTGTAATACCTGTCTATATAATAGTTATATACCGGTATATATCAATATAAAAATATTTATAATAATAATAATAAAACAAAATAAGTTTTAAACATTTAAAAAAACACTTTTAAAAATATTATATATCAATAGTATTACTCAATTATTTCCTATTGTATTTAATACTGTAATACAAACTATTAAGCATATATATATAAAAATTAATCTGGATCTACAAATATATAATATATATTATATATAATATATATATATATATGAAAAACATTAGTAATAGTTAGTTATTATCATTAATATTATTATTATAGTTTTTAAAAAAACTTTTAAAAAACAGTTTTTTATTATTTTTATTTTAGTTTTATATATATATATACAATATTGATAATAACTTGAACGTGAAAATCGTTATTACTATTACTACTAATACCGTATTATTTAATACAATAATAATAATAATAAAATGTTAAATTCATAATATAAAACTGTTATTATTATTATTATTATTATTACCTAATAATTGCATTCAAACAGCTATTTTGTTTTATTTTGTTTAATAGTAATAATAATAATATCATTTTATTTTAAAAATATATTTGTAATGAATTGAAACATTAAATCCAAATGGTTTCACATTAAAAATCAAATTAAAATCAACCAACAAAAAAAATAAAATAATAATTTAAAAATTTTCCGATAAGTATTAAATATATAAAATTACATTTTATTCAAACAAACTAACAAAAAAAATGAGTCAAATTATAATATTAAAAAATTTTATATTTTTATTTAAATATTATTTTCTCTCACATATTGTATTTATACATACAGTAAGTTATATAATATATTAAACTGTATTTATTATACCTTCAAATATATTGTAGTATTTTATTTGTGTGTTTGTTATTTATGGCAAAAAAATAAACTGGGATTTAACCAACAAATAAATAAAATATAAAAATTATTGGGCACAAATATAGTTATCACAATATATATATATATATATATATATACATAATATATTGTAGTACAGTATATATAATATATATAATACCTTACAATGTAGTTAGGGATGTATTTTTTTTTTGCATACCGTTTCACATACACACACATAAACAGTTGCTGTTTTATATATATATAATATATATATATATATATATATTTGTATATATAAATCGGTTTGCATTAATCTTATCGGTGGAGAGAAAATGTTGTGTTATTTATTTTTTTTTTAAATAAATAAATATATAAAATATAAAAAAAAATAAAAGATTTCATGTATTGATGCGGAAGTGTTTGATGGCGTGATTCGCTTTATTACTCAATCTATATAAGCATTTACTGCCAAAAAGCACCGGTATTTTTGTGGATATACAGTATATATATATATAAATACAATTCATTTTCAATACAAGTAGTCTCTCAGTCCTGTCTATCAAATATACACACAATTGCCTTAATATACTGTATATATATATATATAATTTTTTTAAAAAAAACTACTTGTAGTCCAAGTCTAAACTATCTTCAAAAAAATTTTTAAACAAATTTATTCAATAATAAATGTAAATTTCTGTCATATAAAAGTCAAAAGTCATTAAATATGTTTGATTTTTTGAATACATATCAATAGCTTATTGTAATATACAGTATATATATATATATAGTATCTTCAAATGTGTCTTTAAATTAGTTGTTGAAAACATGTCAATCATTGACTGTCATTATATATATACTGTATATACAGTATATATATATATTTATATTCAATGATAGACAATAGATATACAGATTTAGATAATAAATGTTTTTTTTAAATTATATATATATATATTAAGATTTTATCACTTATTTACCACTAATTTATTACCAATAAAAATCTCTATACAAGTATATACAGTGTAATATTTATAAGTAATATACATTATATACTATATTTAAAATAAAGTTTTTAAAATAGTCAACTAATTTACAAATAATAAAAAACATATAATTAATGATAAACTAGTAGCCCATAGGCTTCATTAATAAATGCATTATTTTACAGTAATTATTACAAATAATTTTTTTTATTTAATAATTTTATATTAGCGCTAAATTACTATTGTTTGGTAAATAAATATATAATTTTTTTTATTGTTAAACACATTGTGCAATATAATCATAAATATAACAACAATTTTTTGTTTGTTTGAATTGTTTGAATTGTTGCAAAATATCATCATATAAACTATGTTTTATTATATATAGTATAGTATGTATTGTACTAAAAATTAACACATTTGTCATCATTAAAAAAATAACTAAATATATATCTATGTGTGTGTGTGTGTGAAATGAAATTATTTTAATAACATTTCATAACAACTATATATATATATATATATACCATAAAAAAATTATATAACAATTTTTTTGCACACAATTTTTTTGTATTGTTATGAAATCGGCGTTAATTTTGTTATCATATATTTTTTGGTTGGTTTTAGTATTATAACAACAAAATTATTATTATATTTCATAAAAAATATTTCAAATTACTTCAAACATACTGTACTTATATATATGATTACATACAGTGAGAGTACATACCATACCATTCAATAATAATCTCAAATAAACATTCAAAAATAAATGTGTGTTAAAAAATGTTAAATGTTTCATTTAAGATGACATATTGGTTGCAATATAACATATATATAAAACAAATAGTTTAGTAACATAGCTATATATAAATAATTTTATGGCAGTTAACAGCGTGAAAAAACTACCCCCTCCACCCACCCCCCTCAAAAAAACTACTGGTGCCCGAGCATACTGTGGGCCATACTGTTAGATAAAATGTTTTTTTTTACAAATTGTTGGGCTTTTTTTTGTTTTATTTGTTAGTGAGTGTTAAAAAACTATCAAAACTATCAGATAAACTACTGTGAAATTTATATATATATATATATATATATATATATATATATATATATATATATATATATATATATATATATATGTATCTAAACATAACAAATGAATTGTGTGTATGTTTTTGAAATATTTTGACAAATTTATGTAAATCTCTCTCTCTCTTTCTCTCTTTAAAAAAAACATTTGTTAAGTTGATATCAAAACACATATATACACACATATATCTCCGGTATGTATGGTATGGTGTGAATAGACATGACAGCACATGGAGTGTGTATTAGCTAAACACGTGAACAACAAGCACCGGGAGATAGAGAGAGAGAGGTATCGGTTTAATAGATAGAGATAACTATTAGAGATATAGAGAAGCTATCCAAACAACAAAATAACTGCATAAAGCACCCGGTAGATATGTCGGGGCGTATAGATCGGGGGGGGGACAGTCGGGTATATACAGTCGGGGTGTACTTACTTGAAAAAATCGTTTCGACAATACAGTCGGCCGTCTCTAGAAAAACATTTTTCCTGCAATGTTTGTTTGCATTCATAACAGGTAACACACTTAGTATGCCACGACCTGTCCAATACGTTTAGTAGGAAACGGTCCAGAATCGGTAGGTCACAGCCGGCGCATTGAATCATTTTCATGATTACTGAGTATTTTTTATATATGGTATGAGTCTCTTATTTTTTTTGCACGGGTATGTATATGTGGTGATGGTATGTGTCGATGGTTATGATGATGATGATGACAGTAGTAGTAGTAGTCTAAGTAATAGCAGCAGATAACGGCACAACACTTTGGCTAACATTACTTATTATTATTATTATTATTATTTGAATCAATTATTTAAACAAACAGTTAGTCAAGTAGTTGTAGTAGTAGTTGTTGTTGTAGTAGTCAAGTGCTGGTTGATTGTCACACACATAAACACCAAACACATAGACACAAACACATTCACAATAATATATATGATAACATACTGTATATATATATATATATATGAAACTACTGTTTAGTTTTTCAGTGTTGAGGCGATGATACCCATTGCCTGAGAGTCAATAGTGTATGGTTTGTGTATGGATGAGATACAAGTGCCGCGCGCCTTAGCCATCGATATGTACAGTATATACTGTATGTATGTATGTATGTATGCCTCTGAGCTGTCTCTCTTTCTCTCTCTCTCTCTCTCTCTCCTAACTCACTCCTAACCATACCATCCATACCCATAAGCGAGAGAGAGAKAGAAACCGGGTGTATGTCGATCCGATTCAGGGTCCGCCCCTTTCCACAAAACGGCTGACGTACTGATCCGATGAAGGTGGAGACACGCATGAGCTCCGGTATATGGATGGCCTTAACTACTATATAACTATTTTTTTTTCGGGAGATTGTATGTTTGCAATTGCCATTACATTACATTACATTAGACTGACTGTACTATCATTATATACTGTATATATCGTGTCTATGCCTAACACACACACACAYACACATACATACACACACATACATACACACACATACATACACACACATACACACAATTGCCAACTGTGCTTCAATATCATCATCACTGGCATTATATTATTACTAGAGAGCTTAGTTATAACATATATGCACCAAAAAATATGCACCAAATATATATATATATATATATTTAAATTTATTAATTTTTTGCAATTTTTTAAGCTAATATATAAATATGTAATAATAAATATGTATATAAATTATAAAACTTAATAATTATACATAAATTTATATATATATATATATATAATTGTTCAGTGAATTAAATATATAATATATATAAATTTATTTATATATTTTTTATTTAAAAAAAATAAAACAAATATTTTTAAAAATTAATTGTATTAAATATAATGGGATGTTTAAACTTAATGATTGATTTTCTAAAAATTTRGTATATTTTTCAATTAAAAGAAAAAACAATATATTGTATATAAAATTTGTTAAACAAAAAATTATTGATAATATATTTTTCAACAAAATTTTTAATRTAACCAATAAGTTAAGTTATAAAATCAAATAATATATATATATATATATATATTAGCAATTATTTTTTAGTTTTTAGTATAACATAAGTTATCAAGCAAAATTTATATATATATAAAAAACACACACATACAACATATAAATACAATAAACATATTAGTATATATAATTATAAAAAAAAATTAAATAAATTTATATATATATATATATAATTTTGAATATATTCAGTAATTGAAATCTCTATTTTTTAATTAGTAAAATATATATATATATATATATATATATATATATACATTAATATTATTACTGTATTATTAAAAACATTATGATATTATAGCTCTCTAATTATCATTACTCTCTCTCTCTCTCTCTCTCTCTCTCTCTCTCTCTCTCTCTCTCTCTCTCTCTCTCTCTCAATCTATCTCTATCTCATAATAACTTTATGGGTATCCTTGAAGTGACGGGAGGTGAGGGGGGGATTAATCAAGTAGAGGGGGTTTTTTTGTGGTCATAAGACACCCGCAAAAAAGTTATGCTATCGACACGAGACCTCATATAACCACTACTACTACTACTACTACTACTACCAGTAAAATACAGTATTAACCCAACAATACTGTGTGTGTGTGTAATAAAGGGGACACTTATTTAGCCAAAAAAAAAAATAATAATAAAAGAGGAGACAGTTTGATGGACTCTCTCTCTCTTTTTACTCTTAACTTTATATATATATACATACATAAGCTCTTTGCTGATATATTTTTCAACAACAAAAAAAACTACTTAACAACATAGCTAACTATAACTTTAGTTTTATATTTTTTAAATACAATATATGTGGCACACAAACAGTACAGTTKAGTATTAATACTACATAAGCATATATATATACGACATATATACAGTATATATATACCCATAGCGCACACATATCCAGGATCACCAGTTTTTTTCCCAGAATATACCAACAAATTTATGTATGAATTCTGCGAAAAAATATATATATAAGAAACAGAGAGAGAGAGAGAGAGAGAGAGAGAGAGAGAGAGAGAGAGARAGAGAGAGAGAGAGARAGAGAGACTACTACTACAACAAAAAAAGTATATAAAATTATATATCAAAGAATAAGTAGTCAAAAGACAGACACAAAATAAAAATATATATATATATAWAAAATCTCTGAATTTATTGTCGAAAACGATTCACTAAAAAAAAAATCCACTTTTTTTTGTGTGACACTAAACGTGACATTTATAGACACTTAGTATTCACACAATATATATATATATATATAATACACTTGACCTCAACTATCGATTTAACTTCACATAAAAAAAATTTAGTTATTTTTTTTGTTAAGTATAATGTATTATACAATCTAACAGTGTGTATGTACTGTATGTATATATAGTGTAAATTTATATTATATATATAGATTATACTACCAAATAAGTACTGGCACTTAAATGCATAGTATATGGTATACACTGTAAGTAGAGTACAGTATATTAATAATGATAATAATAATAATAATAAAAAAGACCTAGGAGTCAATTATTTATATATATATATATTGTTTGAATACATAAACCAAAATAAAAATCACATAAAATTGTTTGTATGTATGTATGTATGTACAGTATGTGTCTCCCTATCTATCATTTATTGTGCCCCTAATTTTATTTTTTTGCAATTTTTTTAAGCATATATATACAGTAAATACATATAACACACATACATACATACATATATATATAAAGCATATTTAGTTTAGTTTTTTTTTGTTGATGGCTCCGGTATTTTTCAGGTCCGATAACTTTTTCGGTCTCTTTTTTATGTGTGTGTGTGTGTGAGTGTGTGTATTGTTTTCGTGAGTTTTCTTATGGTGAGGTACAGTATGTATGTGTGTGTGTGTGTGTGTGTGTGTGTGTGTGTGTGTGTGTGTGTGTGTGTGTGTGTGTGTGTGTGTGTGTGTGTGTGTGTGTGTGTGTGTGTGTGTATGTGTGTGTGTGTAAGCTATTTGAGCTCTCAAACACATAATTGAGCCCCAAATTTAAAAAAGTTAATTTATTAGTCCATTGTATTGGCAAATATGAATACATACATACATAGAGTATACATACATATAATATAATACACAAAACAAATGCAATCGCTTTTTATTTTATTTTTTTTTGTTAAGTCTCTCTCTCTCTCTCTCTCTCTCTCTCWCTCTCTCAGTGCTCTCTTAGTAGTCGTTTTTTTGTTGCCTACCAGTGCTAAGGGAACTGTCTTTCAAAAAAAAAAAACTATAGAAAGATTTTCAAATGTGTTGAACTCTAACACTAAACACATTTGTCAATTTCAATATTTTTGTGACCTCTAGGGGGGCGCCGCACAAACACACACACACACATACCTAAACTGCTTATACATATGTAGTATATATTATATGGATTACTACTACCCCCCCCCACATACTAACTAACTAACTCACTCACTCACTTGCCTTCATCCTAAACAATGCATACACCTAAATGAGCTCATCTTCCACAGTGAGTGAGTGAGTGAGTGAGTGAGTGAGTTAGAGAGAGAGAGAGAGAGAGAGAGAGAGAGAGAGARAGAGAACCTGTTGACCACTCCATACATATATATATATATATATATACTATATATATAAGAGTTACCCCTTTATAAATAGAAGTTAGAGCTCAGGTATGAGAAAGTATTTTTCTGCTCTCTCTCTCTCTCTCTCTCTCTCTCTCTCTCTCTCTCTCTCTCTCTCTCTCTAARCAAYACACAAATAACTTGACCGCCCCTTCCATTGGACTTTCAACTACTACTACAACAACAACAAAACTAAGGAGGACCCGGATATCTATCAAATGGCCTACAATTCCCAGTGAGTGAGTTAGTTAAATAGAGAGAGAGAGAGAGAGAGAGAGAGAGAGAGAGAGAGAGAGAGAGAGAGAGAGAGCTCATCCATTGATGTATTATACCCGGTATAGTATAGCATAGCATATATATTGAGCATATATACCACTCCAATGAAATATTTAGCCAAACATATCATTAAATGGGTAATGAATTAAACAAAACACAAAAATAAAGGACAACTCATTAATTGTAAATTGTTTTTCAAAGTGTTGTTTTTTTTGGAGTAAATTTTTATTTTATTTTTTGGTTGCCTTTTAATGACAACAAACATATACATACATTCTTTAAGGGCCTTGTTTTTTTAACAGTATAGTTAACAACAAAATGTAATAATAATAATAATAATAAATAATTACATTATTATACATACATACATACATACACACACACACACACACACACACACACATACATACACACTGTATATGTAAACTTGTAATATATATTTTTTAAGCAAAACAATGCAAAATTTATGTGTATATGTTTTTTTTCTCAATAAATATTTCATTAAACAGATTATTTAGGCTATAGATTACTGTTAATGTTATATATATATATATATATATATTGGTATATATATAATTACCAATATACATTGTAATACATTGTAATATATATTGTAATATATATATATATATTGTAATATTTTATGCAAAATTTAAAATAACAAACAAAATTTTTTATTGATTTGAAGCAATTATACAATAAAATATTATATATATAATCTATAAGCAAATAAATTAATAATAATGAAACAAAAATTACTTAATTATTT